TAACCATTCCATAAAGCTACCCGTCACCATCGAATCTAGATCGGCTTACCAAGAACGGAAGGGTCAAGAAGAAACTGCTCATTTCACGGACCAAGATGGCGACCACACGGGGAGCTTGGCGTTACTTTCCCGCGCACACCAGCTCGGAGCACGTGGAGCGAAAGCTCGCGCTGCAGAACCCAGGGATCCTGGGCTCTGCAGCGCCCAAGCATCAAACAGAATGCAGGAATTAGTGTTCCACGCGCCACACGTGCTGGCTTTAGCAGTAGTAACTTTTCTAAAGCAAATACCTAAAACAAAAGGCATCTTGGACACGCGTTCCTTAACGCTTTATTTTGGTTATTTACTTGGAATCTTTTATACGGGGAAGGTGTGCACGTGTGGCGCGTGGAACACCAATCCCTGCATTCTCCTTGATGCTTGGGTAATATAGCAAATGGTCTATCCCCACCCCTGCCCGTTTCGATCTGGATGAGCGTCGTACTGGCGTGCGGTCGTGTATCAGGTATCACTACTGCGTGGTGCACGTTAAAGGGATACTACAACGAAATTTCGGCGCTCATTTTTTTTGTCTATATGTGTTCAAAAGGGCAGTATCACATGGAACATACCAATATCTTGTTAAAAAAGTCTCGAAAAGGAATTTTAAAACGAATTAAACGATTAGCAAAGAGCACCTGGTGGATGTCGATAACGCCTTGTTTGTAATACTCGTCTAGGAACCTTGACAGCTAGTGACGGAGGTTGTCTCGTCTCCGGCCACGACGAGAGAAGGGGGGAAGGAGGAACTCCCCTCTTCCCGATAATCCCTTTTGTGTGTCGCAGAAGTCGCTATTGTCCCCCTAGAAGATTATAGAAGATTAACCCGTCACTCAAAATTCGTACAAAAGCAGCCGCTTCGGTGGCTGGAACGACTAGGCCATCCTCTCGACGTCAGCCTCGCCGTAGCTTTGCTCGTCTTGAGACGACCTACGTCACGATTGCGTTGGATGTCACGTGGTCTCCGCTGGGCCTTCTTCGAGCGCTTGCCAGAGTGGGCCGTTTATAAAGAAAAATACAGCCACCAGGCTCAAAATACAAACGTGCGATTGTCATTTACGGATATTGTGGATCATATTCAACCTATTTTTGAACACGACGGGAATATTTCAAATTTCGTTGAAGTATCCCTTTAAAGGGACTCTGACACCCCCCAAATTTTTTTTTTAATTTTTTGCCAGGCGCTTTATTATGGTGTCGGAGGACTACCCAATTAATATTTTGCAACAGAGTAGCGTATTTTTTTAATAAAGTCAAAAGGCGCAACTGCTCGAAACCGAAACCGAAACCCGACGGAGGTCGGAGAAGTGGAGAGAAGAGAGTGAGTGGCGAAAGTCACGTGGCTACACCCGACCATGTTTTTTTTTTTTTTTTTCTCCTTCCCGGTAGCAGACGACATGCGGTGTTTGGGAACTGCTCGCCGTGGGATTCTTTTGCAGTTATGTATGTTCCGCTCGTTGTTCTCTACTCCAAGATGAGTTGTTTTGTACATTGAGGAGTTGGAGATGAGTAGTGAGTGCCCGTGGTGAATTTTGATCGGCTCCGAAAAGAATACACCCAAGATGTTGCGTGAAAAGCTGGCTCACATGTCCCGCGTCCGAAACAGAAGTGGCATTGTGCGACAGAGTTTCCGAAAGATCAACGGGATCGGGACCAATGGCTGGCTGCAATTCCTGTAAACCATTTACGGGCACCTCGGAAAGCGGACACTACCTGATTTATATGCTCCTTGTATTTTGTGGAAAGTGATTACATTAAGTTCGCAGGTGTCAAAAAGGATATCCCATACCATCTAATTCAGCGGCGTGTCGTCCACAACATTTTTCTTTTTTTTTTCTTCAGTAATAATTGTAAAAAAAGAAAAGAAATGTAGACATCAGAAAATATTTAGAAAAAAAAAAAGTTTCACGGGGGATCGAACCCGGCTCTACCGCGTGCGAAGGGGACGTCTTTCCCACTGAGCTACTGGGGCATATTTTTTTTTTTCTTTATTGCATGGGAGGATAAACATAAACCACTTATTCACAGTTCACGGGCATGGTTCAATGTCATTTGTTAAGTCAAAATTCTTTGATATCTATGAGACTACTAAACAAAGGTAACCATTCCGGAACTACTTCTTGAATGTCATACACACTTTTGATACGGGTTACAAGGTCAATGAAATGTAAGCGTACAGTCTTTGGGTACAAATTCTCATTTCTAATGTCAAGGCGTGATTTCCACATGCTGTATAACGCTACAAGCATCACCAGATCGAAAGGAAAAGTATCTTTAGATGACACAGGAAGAAAACGAATCGTGTAAGTTGTAATATCAATGTCTTTCTTTAGTGTGCGCTGCAAAACGTCCCAAAAGAAAACCGCGTCCCAGCAGTGAATAAATACGTGTTCGACTGTTTCGGGCATTTTACATAATGTGCAGTTTACTGACCACGGAACATATAGGCCCTTTTCCTGCAGCCATACTTTGGTAGGTAATACCGAACAGTGCAGTTTAAAAAAGAAAGTTTTTGCCGCCGGGGGGATGCACATTTTTTTCACCCGGCGTAGTACATCTTGGTCAGGACCATGGCCGGACATAGTGCGATAAACTGGCATTGGAAAAAGGTCACATACAAGATCTCTTGTCAACTTCTTACGTGTTACAGACGTCAGATAGTCTCTTGAAAATCTTACTGAGAGAAAGTGATAAGCATCAACTACTTCCTTTAGGTATCCTACCAAAGTACATGTTTGATATCCTGTGGAGGATACAATAAAGTCCGCAAGAAAGCATCCCAGCTTGTTTTGAATGACATCTCGTAGAAAAGGATGTTCCTGGTCTCGTAAGAAAATAAATCGCGAAACCAATTGGCGAATAAACAAATGAGGAAGGCCTAGTCCCCCCTCTGATACACGTCAAAACAAGTTGTCACGACGCATGGGTTCCCAGGAGGACTTCCAGACAAGAACACTAAACACCCTGTGCAACTTCTGTATATTTATCCTTGCACAGTGCAGTACTTGCAGGACATACCACAACTTCGCCGCTAAAAAAAATGTTGCAGACTGTCGAACGTGCAAAAATGGACAAATTTTTATGGGACCAGTGCTTGGCTCGTTTCTCCAACCCAGTCGCAATTCCGGACCAGTAGGACTTGCTATTCCGGAAGTGCCTCAAGGGCACACCTAGGTAGTCACACGGAGTGCAACTCCACTGGATGCCTTCATATTGTTCTGGCATCGTGGCCCAAGCTCCATGACAGAAACCTCGGCACTTTTCTAGGTTCACTGAGGCTCCAGTGGCCTCGCAAAACCTGTGTGTGAGTTCCATAGCATGGGACACACTGTTCTTGTTTTTGCAGAAGTAAGCGACATCATCTGCATACGCCAGTACTTTGACTTCGGTGTTGCACAGGGTGAAGCCTTGAAGTTTCTCACTTCTCAGTATACTTTGGCATAAGGGTTCGAGATATAAAGTAAAAAGTAAAGGCGATAAGGGACAGCCCTGTCGAACTGAGGAACGGACTGGGATACTTGCTGTGACTTAGTTATTTATAACTAAGCGTGTGGAACAGTTACTGTAAGACATTTGTACACATTGAAGTAGAATATCACCAACACCAATATGAGACAAAATTTTGAAAAGAACATGATGACTGACACGGTCGAAAGCTTTCGCCAGATCAACTTGGACCATTGCAATCTGTTCACTACTGTTGGTCACACACTCTAACACACTTCTCGCAATGTGTACATTTGTTTGAATAGCCCGTCCGCGAATCCCGCAAGTCTGGTGTTCTCCAACGAGACCGCAAATGACACTTTGTAATCTATTTGTCAGGAGTTTAGCAAAAATCTTATAATCCACATTACATAACGTTATGGGCCGATAGCCGGTCACTTGTAATAGTTTGTGTTTGTCCTCGGTTTTGGGAATGAGTATAGTATGCGTTCGCAAAAATGAGGGGGGAAGACTCTTGGTTTTGTAGGCCTCTTGAAAAATCTCAAGCAGTATGGGACATAAAGTGTCTTTTTGTAGTTGATAAAATTCTGCAGGGATGCCGTCTGGTCCTGGCGTTTTTCTTCTTGGAAGGGCATTCACTGTTTTTTCTACTTCATCTAGGGTGAAGGGGGTCTCAAATTCTTGTTTGCATTCTTTTTCTAATTGAGGCAACAAAGAGACTAGTTTATCTAGATATTCGTTATCTGTCGAGGCAGGACCATTGCCGAATATATTTTGGTAGTGTTCAAAAAAGACATGTGCTATAGTTTCTTTATCTGTAACGATAAGGCTGTTCTGTTCTATTTCATGGATTTCTTTAGATATTGCATACCGTTTCTCCTCCTCCATTGCCCTTTTCGTTGGCTGTTCTCCTAAACAAAATTTTTCAGCACGGGCGCGCACAACCGCGCCTTGATAACGCTCGTGATGAAATTTGTCCAACTCAGCTTTCGTTCGAGTTATATCTTCCAAACCTTGCCCAGGACTTTGGCATTCTAGTTCTACCAGAACACGCAAATTACGAAGCAGTGTTTTTTCTGTCTCAGCCTTCTGAAATTTAATAATAGTACCTCTCTCAATTGCTAGCTGTTTTAGTTCTTGTTTAAGGAGCTCCCATTTAACAAATATATGTTCGGTTGTTTCTCCAATTTGCTTGATTAGATCTTTCGTACTGGCTACAAAGACTTTATCTTTTAATAATTGAACATTTAGTTTCCATAACTTCCAATTTATATTCTTTTTTCTTCGTTTCTTCCCAACAGTTACTAACACCATGCAGTGGTCTGTGAAAAATACTGGTTCAACTACATAACCACTTAAAGTGTTAATTAGGTCTACAGAACAGTAGATTCTGTCTAACCTCGCGTGAGAGGAGTTCTGAAAATGTGTAAATTGCAGGTGGTTTTCTTCCAGCTGGAAAGGGGCAACATCAAAAAAATTCCCTTCGTCAACTATGTCCAGCAGTAGACGTGCGCTCTGGTCAATTCGCGGTTTAAATGGAGTTCTATCTGCTTCGTTGCAAACACAATTAAAATCTCCTAAAAGAACTAACATTCTATCTGATATTAAATATGGGCGCAGGTTATTAAAAAATACAATTCTGCTATTAACCTCATTCGGTGCGTAAATACATATAATTCTCCACCTTATGTCAGAGACTTGAAAGTCGCACATAATGAAGCGGCCACAGAGGTCTGTGGTGACCATTAATTCAGACAGTTGGAAAGACTTCTTAATAAACAGTAAACAGCCCCCAGAGTAACCAACAGCGTGACTGACACATACTTCATAGTCACGCAGAAAATGCTGCAGGGCACGCTCTACCTGTTCATCTGTTGAGAGCTTTGTTTCCTGTACGGCCAGAAAGTCAACCTCCTTATCTTCAAGTAAACGTTTCAGTTGATATTGTTTTTTTCTAGAATTAAAGCCTCTAACATTTAGTGTTGCAAAACGAGGGCCATCAACTAGAAGGGAAGGGGGAGAGAAAGGGGGAGGGGGAGATGGAGGAGGAGGGGAGGGAGAGGAGAGGGGCTATGAATTTGGGTTTAAACACTAGCAGCTTGGGTGCAAGGTAGGTTTCCGCTTACTCGCGGTGGTGGTGTCAGGTGGTGCATCTTGTTTTCGTTTGGTGTCGTTAGTGTCCTTGGAACTGTTTTTGGTCACGTCCATTGAGTCCGGTAGGTCGTCATTGCCTTCTGACGTCGTCAGCTTCTCAGCAAGATCTGCAGGCTGCTGAGTTAACTCCTGTTGTAGCGGGGTATTTTGGTCCTTGCTTTCCTGCAAGTCTTTTCCTTCATTCTCTGTCTTCGAGCCGGCTTGTGGTGTTTCCGAGACTTCCTTGACAGCTGGATCTTCGTTCTTATCGGAAATAGGAGGTCCGGCCTCTGCAGACCCGGCTTGAGTTGGGAGAACCTCACCAGTGGCGTCTACGACCTCGGAGATATCCATGAACTCTTGGTTGGCATCTGGTTCTGTGCCAGAGCCCCGTAGCACGGCTGCATAGCTGGAGTAGCACTCGTCACTTTCGTGTCCGAATCTGTTGCAACGCGCACACTTTGGGGTGCGACACTGCCTGCGTATGTGACCAACTTTCTTGCATCTCAGGCACAAAGGTGGTCGCCCGGACATGACCAGAAGGGACTGTATGCCGGCAACTCTGAGCAGATGGGGAATATCTTCCGATGTCGTCATGTCATGAAGAGTCAGACAGACCTCTCTGTTCAGCGTTTCCATGTTTTCCATCCCTGGCACGCGCCACTTTTCTCTCGAGACGCTACGCACGGTTCCAAATGGCGATAATGCTTCAGCAATCTTCTTATCTTCTAAGTACGACGGAAGCCAGAGGAGCTTGAGCTTAACGTCTTTTGAGTTCGGGTCGATGACCATGCACTTTTTGCCCTTCACCGTCAGTTCTTTTGCCGCTTTGAGCTTCTCAGCGGCTTCAGAACTCACTAGCGTAACCATCCAAACGTGGCTCATTTGGAACTGTCCAAGGGACAACACTTCTCGGAGTTCGATGGCGTCTTTGAGTCCGTCACGAAAATCAATTGCACGGTAGGGCCTGCCCGACATGTCGGCATGAAGAAAAACAGAATTGATGCACAAGCTTCCGGGAGGAAACCGTGGAAGTAGGATTCGATACTCATCTAGGCTAGTCGCCTGAGCTTGGCTTTTTCCTGGGGCCGCGGGTGCGGCTGCAGCGTTGACCGGTTGCATCGTTTGAAAGTCGTTGTTTGCATATGAACCAGAAGGAGAAGGGTTTCCTCGGCCTGGGGCCGATTGTTGATTTGCAGCGGAGAACATGAAAACGCGTCCGTTCGAAACGGCGTCTTCTTCTTTCTCCACTACTGGGGCATATCGAAAGTGGGGTATCTTTCTCCTTGGTAATAATTCAGCCGATAAACTGTAAGTTGGAAAGTTTGCTGCCGATTTTTCTCTAGCAAAAGCACTCCCGGGTCGAAGTCGGGATGCACCACGCATTGGCGACATTCTCACCTAGTAAAGAAATCGTACGCGTGCATATTCCACTCGAAGTAGACACGTCGCGCTTGACGTTTGTGCGAGCGATGTCTTCAGCCACAAGAAGGGAGCGACGGCTCGGCGACGTCTTCGTGCAAATCGGCTTGGTGGTCGGGCGTGTCGTACGGGATGAATACCAATTCTTTTGACCAGTCCCAAATTTCTCTTTTAAAGGCAGACAAAATTCGCCGGTACCGCGAACGACAGTTCTGAAATAGAGGTCCCACGCCCGTCGTCCGCTGCCATCGCCGTCCCTGCGAGTCCCACGATACGCGAAACGACGCACGCACAGAATGCTTCCGGTTGTCTGTGGAACTTTTTTTTCAATCAACGTATTTGGAGCTTTTTAGAAGCCACAAAAAATGGGTTTTCTATTTTTTTCTATTTTTAATATTGAGTGTGTGCTTTCAGTGACCCACGACTTTGATTAAATTTGGTGGTCGCATCGATACCTTAGAAAACGGCCCGTGACCGCGGAAAAGAGAGTGAGCGAGACTCGAACCGGCCAGTTCTTGATCGGCGGTTTTCGGGCGGAAAAAAAACCGAATTTCGAGCCGCAAATTCTGTTCTGGGTAGTTGAGCTCTCATATGTCACGTACAACTAAAAACCTCGGCGAGCATAAATACCCTGTCAGTGTCCCTTTAATGGCTGATCACATAACCCATTTGCAATTTGCTTTTCGTTTATAGCACTTATAACCTCCATAGCTGGCATGCCCAAGCCACTTCGATCGCAGCGCCGCCACGCTAACTTTCAACACACAGCGCTCCTCCCGAAACATAGAGTTATCATAATGTCCCGAAAGCATGGGCGGAGCTGGGGACTCGCCCCACTCATACCCTCTAGTACACGCTGTCTTATTCTAAATGATATTCTTACGGGACCATTTTTTCCTACCTTGAACTTGGGACCATTAGTTGACCATTTGCTCATACACCCGACAACATCGTCATGCGGCATCGTCATGCCCGTGGACGTTTCTTCAGCTGCAGCCGTATTTTAAAATTAGCTAGAGTGCATCTGGGAGAATAGGATAGCATTTCGAAATCACGAAGCCATCCACATTCAGATGAAGCCTTTGGATTAGGTAGCTGAAAAAATCGGCGGAGTTCCCTTTTTAGCTTTCCACACGTCGTGTCCACACGTAGTGCCTGCCATGGTCGCCATACTTAGCCGTGCGCCAAGCGTCGTCCGCCAACCCTGCGCCACAGCTGCCGTCGTCGCCATTTTGCGACGAATAAGATCTCCGATTTGGTGCCTCTCTGAAATTTCGTCCAACTTGGACGACTGGGGGACAGAGCCTTCCCCCGATTTACTGCATTGCGGCAAGCCCGACCTCCGCTAGCTCCTAAAATTAAATCTGGTTTTCTACATTAGCAACAAGATTATTTTACCGAGTATCGAAATATGCAGCTCTTCTGAATTGCGTCGGCCATGAATTCCCAGGGTTACTTCGCCACTTCTTGTGGAGGCACCTCGCCCAGCGCGTACACCGCGGTCGGACACGGATTCTCCGTCGTCGTCCATGCTAGAGCCCACGGCCATGGACAAGAAGAACTCGACACGGCAAACGTCCGCGCCCAAGGGAAACACTGCCAGTGATCCGAAGAGCAAGCAAGGTAGGCCCCCGCAGTTCTTGCTTGATCAACACTTGCCTCTACTTGTTCTACGAGGCACCTTTATTCCAACGAAGCTTACTAAGTCGCCTAACCATCCCTGTCGTTGCTGTCTGATTTAGAATTTTGCTTTGTCGGCGACGCTCAAGTGTTATCTGGACCGTTAGTCCGCGTGCTGGCTTAAGCCTCGCGCTGAGTGAGGTGGTGGGGCGAGTGTTTGTTTTGGGATCGTATTTGTTGCCAGTCACCTTGGATGGTGTAGGGGTTGCGTAATTACTTTACTCGCAGCGTTGGAAGCATTGACCACGGCAGCTGATTCTCTTGCGTAGACATTATTTGTCATGGTCTAGAACAAACAACCTCATGCTAAGAAATGTGCCGGGCGTCTACGTTTCCGAGGGATTGCGCAACTTCTCCGCGAACGTCGTAAGGTGATCTCTCTTTGCACGTGCTCAGTTAGATCGCTTTGTCGCTTTCTGTTTATAGCTAAGAGCAGCGCGGAGGGACCATTCATTCTTTAGGCACTTATTTTATGGCCACCTTGGTACCTCAAACTGTCCAAATCTTATAAAAAACAAACAAACAAGCAATTTATTTTACGACGTAGTAACCTCGCACATTTAACGTTTCGCTAAGTGTAAGGTCGAGCAAAAATCAATCAGTGATTGTCTCAGTCACAACTCCTCTTGAAATAAGAACCACCTTTCCTGAGATAGTTCGTAATGGAAGGGAAAGCTGCACTGTTTCTCTTGTTTTAATAGCGGTAGGAATAACTAAGGATTAATTGGAAATCGATTGTTGCACCTTGATCACTAACACGACTTGATGGAGTATCTGCATTGACATACTAGCACAGCAGTAGCGAAATGTAAACTGAATTACAGTGGCGATGTGGGCGAGTTGGTTCATCTCTTAGGGGCAACTCCTGTCAATATTTTCGAATTTGGCATTGCGACTGTTTTCAGCTCAGTCAGTGTCCTTGAATTACAAGGTATAATCTTTTTTTCTTCAATATTGTTTGTGGTTACCAATGTTCAAAGCAGGCACGTAGCCAGGATTTTGTTTCGGGAAGGGGGGGGGGGGGGGGGGGGGGGGCACGCGCCCATGACAAAGTAATGCTGTATGAGGGGGAGGGGGGAGAGGAGGTCCCAGCAAAATGGAAGATTGGGGGGGGGGGGGGGGGGGGGGAGCCGGGCCCCATGGGCCCCTCCCCTGGCTACGTGCCTGGCTCAAAGTTTGATTTCGGACGTCTACGGCTATAACGATACTATTTGCTAGAGAGGGATGGCAACACTGAAATCAGATGTACGGATGCGACGTGACATCACGATGGTGCTGCGATGCGCAATATAACGTGCGGAATCAACCGCAGCATCACAGCGACATGATGTCACAGTGGTGCTGTGGTACGCATTGCCCAGTGTTGCTTGACTGAAAGTTAACCCGCTTGCCACCGACTAAAGAGCAGGTTGCGTCGTTAAAATCAATCTTTGTGGAGTATACGGCTTCACTTGGACATAATATTTCAAGCTGTGATCATATTTCGTGCCACTAAAGCAATATCAGTCATTTATTTTGGTTTTGTTTTCAACTGAAGTTGCCTTTTAAGCAATCTTTAAAACAGTCCACATAACAACGAAGACTGGAGAGAAGTACACAGGACAAGTGCGGTTTACTTCTGCAGCGCTCATCCTATGTACTTCTCCCGTGTTCATTGTTTTGCACACTGTTTTATATCTTAGTTGACCATACTGTTGATACCACTGCCGTCATCTTTTTGGCATCTGCTTACCAGAGCAATTTACGCATGGTTTAATATGAGGACTTTCTGCGACAGAACTCATACGTAAAAAATCTCCTGTTCCGCTAACTAACATTTAGTTATTTGCTGGCGAAATAGAAGTGTCTGGCAGCTTTCTTTAATCCTTACTGCTGTATGAAGTTATACTTTCCAGTGCCTCCTTATAGTTTATATTAGTTGCAGAAATGCTCTGGTTTCTCATCCACAGTTCTTAAAGATGATGAAAAGAGGTCAACCTACTTTTTGTGGAATAGACAATAGCTGTAAAGATCAATTTGCTCAACTCTTTAATTTCTAACCCATTCTTCGATAGTTTACGCAGGGATGGACCTGCTGCACCAATGGTGCCACTGTGTGCCTAATGACTTTTCATGCGCCACACTGATACAAAAACATAAATAAGAGCAAAATTGCGCCAAGGCGTGCCCAAACTGAAACTATAAACGAGCCTCATTGAAATTAGCCGTCTCGCTGTTTCTGTTAGCAACATTGACACTGAAACTTCCGTCCCAAATGGGTCGCCAGTGGATCCAAAATCCAAAAAATCTATATCTGAAGGTTGCTGCCACCAACGTTAGCTGCCGTTGCTGCATGCTCACCATGCTTTTCTGAAGTCCCGAAGTCACTTCATCTGAAGATCTGAGTAATGTAACAAATGTTTGCGGCGGCCCTGCGCAGAAAACTTGGGAACAAAGGAGGCGATTGAGCAGTGAGGCATATGATGGATCAAGATACGAGCTGCCAGATCGCAATTGCGCTTTGAAGTGATTTGGCAGTGATGTCACGAAAGTGCCTTCGACAGCAGACTTGCTGTAAGCTGTGAAGAAGTCATAAAGTTTACACAGAAAGGCTAGAGGTTGAAAAGCAAAACAACGAGAGGCATAAGAGGAAGAACAGTGATGCGAGGGAAGCGAGTACAAAGAGAGCTTGTCTTCAGGATGAAGAGCAACAACTTGAACAGCACATCATCTGTTTGCAGAATATGCTTGAGCATGCGGAATCATTAATTGAATCAAGTCTGAAAAAAAAAAAAAAAGGAGATGGAGAAGATTGAGTTTGGACAAGGGCTGTTAGTGAATTCTATTGCGAAATTGGTTTAGAATCTGAAAAAAGTGAACTGTATCCGTGAGCAATTGACGAAGTCCCAATTGATTTATATATATACAAACATTTATTATTTTAGTCACTGAAAAATGAAAAACCATTTTTGTACCTTCATTTTTATTTTTCGGTACACGTTACTAGTTAATGCTGTGCAATGAAAGCTATTTGTGCCTGTTTACATATACCTCTTTGCAAGTCGGTTTTATTGCGTGTTACACTGTCATGTGCAGTTTTGCTTCATATGTTTTGTGTAATTTGCACATAAGTTTGTCAAAAATATTTGCAACTAATAAGTTTATGGAAACTACCATTAAGTTCACATGGAGTTACCTGCATGCCATATTTTCTTTAGTTTTGAAAACCAGGTGACATTTAGCCTTTATTTTAGCACTCTTACAACTCTTATGTTGCTCCCAACTTGCTCCAAGAGCTCGTTTTTGCTGCTCCCAAGATTGCTTCAAAGATGCTTTGGCTAGTTCCATCCCTGCTTATGTCCCAACTCCAATTTATCAAATGGGGTTTGAAGCCATTTTTCGATTAAAACATGTTGCATGAGGCAGGCTTCTGATGCTTTCAAAAATCAAAAACCATATATGTGTTTTTTCTAACATTCAATGCAGGCATTTTAGCTAAAGAATTTGATATTGTTCCTTCAAACTTGATTTCATAGAATCATGGCACATTCAAGCTATGCCAGAAAACACCAATAGGTCCTTTACTGTCTGCCTACATCAACAGGCTTTGCAATATCACCAACCCCCAAAAAAATGCACCACTATAAAAAAAAAAAAAAAGAAAAAAAAAAAAAAAGAAAAGAAAGAAGCTACAAGAAAAATGCTGCTCCCCAATTGCCATCACCAGTCAACCCTGAAGAAAAGGCCGAGCAGGCTTTGAAACGTTGGGTTCCTAATTAGGGGCTTGGTTGGATGTCCCTTTTTAATTATTGATTGAACATGCCTACATTGGTGGAGTAGAATATAGTGGGCTATGTAACGCCTGCACAGTGGCGGGAGGAGACATTCTCAAAGATTACTCGAAGCTACCTTTCCGAGTCTCGCTCAAACCACATCGGCCGTCGTCGGGAGAGAGTACAATTTCTGGAACCACGCCGTTCGGCAGTTGCAGAAGTTGCATTGTAGAACTTGAGGTGCTTCCCAAGCTCATTCGTCGACTCTCGTTGGCGCCACGTGTCGGACGCGCGATCAGATGGTCCCTGGAAGCAGCAGCAGCCACAGCAGCAGCAGCAGCAGTCTGGCTCTCAGCAGGGCCAGCAGCAGGGGAGAGGGGGTCGCCGGAGGGATGGAGGGAGGCCCCTCCCCGACGCCGGCAGGAGGCCCGCCCCCCAGCGTAACCGGTGCGCCTACGACAAGCGCCCGCAGCCGAGGAATGGACAGACTGGCCCCAATACCCAGGGCCAGCGCTGTGAGGTGGGTGCTCGGGTCGGTACGGTGCCTGAAATGCTTCTCCGACCAGTGTGCTTGGCGTCCCGTTCTACCCGCGCGTCCAAGGTGATGCCAAAGTAGCAGCTAGTGGCTTCGCAAAAGCCGGAGCGTCGTGCCATTGGGTGTTGCGATTCTGGCAGTTGGTCATAGAAGCGCCGGCGAAAAGCAAGAGTGAACGTGAGAGTCGCCGTCGTCATGACGTTTTAACTCCTGGTTGCCAAAGCTTTTGTGGCAAGCTGGGAAGCGGCCTGCAGCGGAACTGGTGTCTGCGAAACCGACCACCGGCACCGTGACACCGCCAGGATCGTGGCCCGCAACAGCACAACGCTTTTACGGCATAGTCGGGCAGAAATTGAGAGACTCCTTCTTTTGGACGCGGTAGGCGTATTGGTTGGAAAGGCGTTCTAGGCACCACACTGGTAGCTGGGGCATAACCATGGGCCCTTTTCGTAAAAATGCCCCGAGGAAGCTCTGTTCCATTTTACGTCCTCTCGAAGTTCCGCTTAAATGGGATTAGAAACTATCCCCATCATGACAGTGCTCTTTCAACCTCCATTTCCCTGCCAATCTTACTAGTGCTTAGCTAAAGAATCGGGTTAGCGAGAGACTCGTTCGATAGATTTGAATACTCCTCCCAGACAACAGATCGCCTGGAATACGTTCAGTGAACGCGACAAAAGGATCTTACTAAATCTTCGACTTCACCGTTTCTTTATGACTCGCAGTCCTAGAACAATTGGACATAAACAGGCTCGGAGTTCTTAACGAAACGGAGAGACTGGAAGTTTGCTCGGCGTGCTGAGGACCGCTCGTTTTTGTAAATACGAAAAGGATCCGTAGTCCATTGCAGGTTCAGAAAAGAACCTGCAACGGATCTTTTTTGTAAACACAAAAAAGATCCGTAGTCCGTTGCAGGTTTAGAAAATAAATTTTTGTACTGCGAAACGATCAGTTATTTTGAATCATTGTGTTTATATGCAGTGCTCGCACTCGGGACCGTTGAGGAATCTGCACCGCAGCACTAACCTGTACAGCCAACCCATATTGCCCGTACGCACCACTTCTACGCACGTCGCTCGTTGCCATGTTTGTTTTCTCATGGCCAAAAATGGGGTTCCTCCAATACCTCTCCCCGCCTGGAAGGTCAGACGTTGCAGCGATGTCGAGTGGCCATTCGCGGCACTGCACTTCTCCTTCTAGTGATTGGCGGATATTGTTGAGGTTTCAGCAAAACCTTGCTACAGAAGCGAGGAATGCAAGCAACCTTTTTCGGAGGCGCGCATCCTTTTCGGTCGCGTTCAAACTGTGCATCTGTTTTGTGAAACTAGGTTTCGCGACACTAGACTGTTGCCGACGCAGTACGGTGCTTGCCCGCCGCCGTGACATGCAGGTAGCGCGCAGCCTTCAGGATGACAGCGTGGACAGCGGCGTGAGCAGCAGCGTGAGGAAAGGCTGCAAGAAGGTGAACCTGAACCACCTCCTCAAATTCACCCTGGCCCCGAGGGAAGGGGAGGCCTGGCATCACCCCCAGCAGGGCCAGGGGCACCACTACCAGGGCCACCGGTCGTACCATCACCATCGGCCACCCAAGTACAGCAAGGAGCAGTTCCTGCAGGCCAAGTCAGTGCTTCAAGAGAAGTGTCCTGTCAAGACGGGGAGGGGGGGGTAGGAATGTAATATTTGTGCCACACGGCACTATTTCGTGTCATTTCCGTCGCGTGACATTATCTGATTGGCCAATCGTTACGTGCGATACTTAAAGTCGGGATTACAAGCCGGTTCGCCGATAACATTGTTAGATGGAAGTGACATCAACCCCTTGCCTACTAATAATGAGCGTCACTTGTGCCACCCCTTACAGGACCATAAAGCCCAACCCGAGTGTGACTCGCGTTTTGGTTTCGGCGCTTGTCAGTGCGGTCTCTGGCAGACGGTAAAAACCACCCCTGTTGTTCCATTCACCTTTGGCAGTTTGCTCGTTTAGTTTTCTGTCTAACAAAACCTTTTAGCCAAGAAAAAAAAAAAAAAAAGCAGTCGCTCATGAGTGTGTATGTTAAAACAACTTTGGCTTTGGCGCAGAGGTCCACTTTAGCCGACAAAGAGAAACAAAATCTTCTTTTTGAATGGGATCAATGGTCGGGCATATGTGGCGACGAATCCTTCGGCCTTAACATTTTTAGGAATCGGACGATAGTTTTATGGGCAGCGACAGGAGTGAGGCAAACAATATGAATCCTGCAAGCATTCCATCAATTTTGGCGTCTGCACGTCTGTGGGACAAACACCAGAAGTGCTGATTTAGAGCAAGATTTCCTTGACCTGGAAGTCAATGAAATGTTTTTGTCTTATTTTAATGTAAATTGCCTTTTTAAAATAAAATTTTGCTGTATGTTCCCTGAAGAAAAAGAGTAAGCCACAGGTTAAAGGGCAACTCCGCTTCACTTTTGGTTTTGAAAAAACAATGCAGTCCTCTTCAGTATCGCCTAGGAAGACCACACGTCAAATATTACGACGCAGTTCTGTCTAAATGTTTCTTAAACGGTCCGGCAAACTTTGCAACTCGCCAAGTTGCCGAAATCGGCTGACTTGAGCGGGCGAATTCAGGCGCAACCAACAGCGCAGTCAAGGCTACGGCATGGGCGGAGCCAACATTGAGCTAAACGTCATCACCATGGCCCCCTTTTGCTTGTTTTTACTTCTCCGATCGAGCGTAGCGCATGACGTCAGCAACGTTGCCTCTCGGCGCTCAGCGGTGTCCACGTGATTGGCGTGCGCGCCTGCGCAGCGCGCATCTTGGGAGCAGACCAACCGCCCGCCGTTACCGCCGTCTTCCGCGTCACAACCACCGTCGTCGTCTCATCGTTTGTGATTATTGCCTCTCGGAGTTTCGTCCACACTATGGACACCACATCCGCAGAGTCGCAGACTTATGCCGCAGTTGTGTAGACATCGTCGAATGCCATAGATACCAAAACGTGGCAAAGAGTGCGGTGCAGACGACACTCGCGCCTTCCGCCCGCCTGACCCCATCCCGCCCGTCGTTGGGCCGAGGATCACGTGACATATCGTACCACGTGATGGCCATGTATTTGGCGGCTCGAGGCCAATGTTGCCGGACGGAGCCGAAGTTTCGGTTTCGATTTCCGCTCGTGTTTAAAATTATATTTAAAGATATATATCCCATTTTTCGCGCAGCAAACGACGTAGTGTCTTTTACTAGGGCTTTTTAATTCGAAATCACTCATTATCCCGAAATCTTCGAAATTGAGCGGAGTTGCCCTTTAAAGAGACATTGTACCTGGGCAAAAATTTTTTTCTACCTGGTTAGGACAGGCATGTTTCAAAATCAATGTTTGTCGAAAAAGAAATTTCTTTTCCCCAATATTTATGCTACAATGCAAACTTCTTGATTTCCGGATGAAACTGAAACTATTCCTGTGGGATGATGATGATATCGTTTGTACCTAACTTATGTGCACTCTGAGTTTGCTGGACCTCAGAGCACATATTAGTTGAGCATTAATGCTATCATCATCATCCGACAGGGGTACAGTTTCGGTTTTGCCCACAAATCGAAAAATTCGTACTGTAGCGTAAATATTGGGCAAAACATTTTCAACAAACATTTATTTTGAAACATGCCTGACCTAACAAAATTGGAAAAAAAAATTTTTTTTTTTTCCCGAAGTTGAGTGTTTTTTAAGTTTTCCTTTGGCAGGGGTACTGTTGTGTTATCTGTATGTTCGGATAGCCAGCAGTTAGTCAGCCCCAAAGGCAGTTTCGGGGGGTGGGTGTTGTTAGACCCGCCATAAGGGTGTGTTAAATTAGGAGGAGGGGGCGTGGGATGTACACCATAGGTTTTGTACTTTGTGTAAGGAATTCTGGAGGGAGGGGAGGCGTGTTTAGACCCAACCTGGGGTTCTGTTGGGGGAGCGTGTATAAATGACTGCCCCTTTTCTCCGGCAGCTGCCAGTTTGTGGTGCGGGAGAGTGCGTCCCCTCCACGGGGCTGGGGCGGCAGCGACCCGGACGCGCCCGTGGACTGGGGCCGGGTGGAGGAGGTGCGGGTGGGCAGCGTGGGGCCCCCCCTGTGCCCCGTGTGCCTGGGGCCCCCCGTGGCGGCCAAGATGACCCCCTGCGGGCACGTGTACTGCTGGCCCTGCCTCCTGCACTACCTGGCCCTCTCGGATCGGCCCTGGAGGCCCTGCCCCATCTGCTTCCAGCCTTTCTCCAAGGGGGAGCTCAAGAGGTGCGCTCAACCCGTACCGGCCCCCGTCATTTCTAGGCCGACAGGGCGCTGGAAGAGCGGCACCAGGAACGTGTCTGCGACCGGCGTGTTTGGTCTCCTATCCTGCCCATGCACGGCGACGTGAGAATAAAGCTAATTCGGCTGGACGTCACAAAATTGGGGTTTAGACCACCTTTTCCGATGCAACCGCAGAAATTAGAACATTATGCGAGACTAGAAGGGCAGTTTGCAAGTACACCGCTGTGCGAAATCTGCGTCGTATAGGCACGGTGCTGACTTTGCGCAGTGTCAAAGTTCCACTTCCCGCAACCCTGCGACTCTGCATTATGTACCATGTATAGGTAAATTACTTCCAAAATGTAATTTAAATACAATTACAATTACTTGGCTTCAAAAGTAGTTCAACTACAATTACAATTACTACTGAAAAGTAATTAATTACAATTACAAATTACTCAAAAAATAATGCAATTACTTTACAATTACTTATTTCTGAAAGCGACCCGACTTCGGCCTTATAACTTTAAATGAGTTGTATAGAATGCAACATATTTGTTCATTCCTTGCCCCAATGTTTGAGGAGGCTTTGTTAAGCATGGCAGCATAAATGTCGCATATTGTACTTTCCTTTTATGAATTTTGTTAGATTCATGATAGAAATTGACAGTTTGGGGCAATGAAGTACTACATTCTTATATTTTTAATAAATAATAAATTAGTTAATTTGCTAGAAGATGCCAAATCGCTTAAGAAATAAATTGGGTCGACAGACTATTGTTAGCCAGGCAAATAAAAATGTGACAATTAGTCATATATGAATATTTTACTAGTGTTAGTATAAAACTAAAATCCACGTGCTAAAACAACCGTAATCACATACAAACATCATGGTATTGTAAATTATTTACATTGAGTTGAAATTATAATGGATCAGAAATATATAAGAACTGAATCAGTGCTTCCTAATCAATGGTGTCAATATTCACAGGTGCGAGGTCAGTCTCCAAAATGCTCATGCAAATAATATCGAAGTAAAACCAACAAAAAATAAACTTGAAAATAATACAAAGATACGCATATATGCGACAGTACTGGAACGAGGACGTAAAAGCTGGGAGAAAAAAGAGACAACTTCATAGATAATTAAAATTCCCAACCTGAGCTGAAAGCTGAAGCTAAATGTTTTTTCTTTCAATATTTTGGCATGTTTACGCTATTGTTTTTTGTTTGCACCGCTGACAATGCTACTCGGCACCGTTGAGGTAGCCTCTGAAGAGGATTGTCTCTCAGCCCGCAGCGTAAGCAACAAAAAAAAACAAAACAAGGCGACACTATTTATGTTGTGCGTGTGTGCTTGCACGCCCGCAAGTGTTTCACCGAGAGCTAGACCGCTTGTGCGAGCGCTGAGGCTTTCAGAGAGGTTCTGTTGGTGCCACAAAGTTTTGCAAGAGTAATTGTAATTGTGCCTGAAACTTTGTAATTACTGATGCTTGGAAGTAATTAAATTACAATTCCTTTTATCCAAAAGTAATTAATCCCTTAGTGCCAAATATTTTTTCCCAAAAGTACCCTAAAAATGCCATATTTTTTTATATTGTTATTCCTCTAGTATTAAACATAAAATTTGAAAAATTTATTACGCAAAAATCAGCGGAGGTGAAAAAAATATTTGCCAACTAAAACGAGTGCTGCCATCTATGATCAGCGCCGCAAAACTACTCGGACGAGCTAGGCTCGTCCGTGGAATTGAGGGCTATCGAAACAACCACTGGACGAGCTGAGCTTGTCCACAGCATTTTTAGCCAGAAAGTGGCAACGAGCGCAGCTCGTCCAAGGCACTTAAGGAGTTAATTGCAATTACAAATTGCCAAGAAAAGTAATTAAATTAGAGTAATTCAATTACTGTAATTGAATTATTACCCAAGTATGTTATGTACGAACATAGTGCAGTGTCGACTCGATGCAGAGTCGGCGTGGACTACAAAGCTGATGCGGTGCCGACTTCGCGGTGTGCATGCGCGAGCTGGCCTTGGGGCAGCTTGTGCGACGAGCCTCTCTTCTTCTTTTGGTCCCAGTGTGGTTCCCCAGTGCAAGGCGTCCTACAGACCGGGTGACGAGATCACCATGTGCTTGATGCGGAGGCAGAAGAACGGCTGCCTGCCCGTGCCTGCGAGCCTCTGGAAGGAGGACCTGACGGGGCCCTTCGGCGTGGACGATGGTCAGTTTCGCTTCGGAAGGGGGGGGGGGGAGGGGGGGTGTTGCCGTCGATGGACTTCTAAAGTAACCACTTACGACCATTTAAGCTACTTTAATCATAGTCACTGATGGGATGAGGATTGCAGGAGGGAGGAATGACGCGAGTTCTACTAGCTTCGAGAGCACTGAGCGTCTCTTGAGGCTCGAGCGTGCGCGGGCAGCCATAGTACGGCGTGCCAGATGCCGGTTGTTCTAAAGCGACATGCTGCCATTCTCACCTTTTCGGCTACTGCCGTAAAGTCCTGCGAGGGCGTCCACCCGAAAAGAAGAGATAAATTAAGAAAAATATGATGTGGGCTATCTTTGGGAATGAGACGTCCAAGCTTTGTCGAAAATTAACGATAAATACAAGGGGCACTCGCTACAAACCAAGGTGACACGTGAAGCGATGCTGCAAACCGCGGTCACAACAAATTCGCGTTTCGCAACGAGATAAACACGTGGAAATTTGCTACAAACTCGCTCCAGTGTCGAGGGAAAAGGATGCCGCAGACTGCGGACGCAGCAGATTTTCGTTTCACGGCTCGATAAATACGCAGAAACTGGCTAGCCTTGCGTGCCACGGGAACCGATGTCGAGCGCACGTGCAGATGGCAGACGAAAGACGCAGGAACTCACTACAAACTCGCGTGTCACTGGAACTGATCTTGCGTGCGCAGATCGCCGAAAAAAAATGCAGGAACCCTCTGCGAACCCGCTTGTCACATGTATTAGTACCGCAGATTGCGCGGTTGATGCGATGTTGTTTCGACATCATGTGATGTCCGACAAGAATTGGTGAGGGTGGGTGATGTTTTGGAACTTTTACGTTTCCAATATTTAGTCATTAAAACGGGATAGGCGATCACTCAAGGGGTTAGGGGATTTTACGGTAGTTACATTGTTTCTGACTAAATATTTTTTAAGTTTGACAATGAGATTAAATCTAAGGTCCAGTTAGCTGCGTTCGAATTAACCTAAGTTTAGAGTATTCTGGCTTTCTAATATTTGCGTGTGCCCAATTTTACGTTTGCGTTGCCGATGAGCGTGCGGATGCTGCAATTGGAGACGTGTGACAGTGCATGGGCAGACCCCGTACCATTCCCGAATGCTGTTTGGCGTGTCCCGGCTTGCAGAGGGTGCCATGACCCGCTACCAGAAGGTGCTGACGGCGGGGCAGGACCAGGTGTCAACCATCTTGGACCGAGAAGAGCATGAGCTGAGGCAGCTGCTCCGGGAGGAAGGGGACGCTCCGGAGGCGTGCTTCGTGCAGGCGGCACTCTTGGTGAGTCCCGTGCTTCTGCCCCGAGTGTAGAAAGAGTAGGAGGTTGTTACACAGCTGGCCGGTGCAGTTCCCTCGGGTGTACGGCCCCGTGTTGTTCACGTTCGTGACCGGATCGACCAAAAGGAAGCCTTCCAGATTCCGGCTACGTTTCCCGACGGTACGGAAGGCAACCTTGGATTTGCCTAAGAAAGGCTCTGTCACTTCCTGTCAAAGTTCGGTGTCTAATCAATGGTTGGAAACTTGCGGATCGCGGAGAGGGTGAAAAGCTTTGAATTAAAGGGGTTAGGACGCGAAAACTAAACGGGTAGGTTATTCTTGAAATGGGGAATGCTCGTATGCTACTCGTATATACAAAGTTTTCCGATTTTTAGAGCTCTAGTAATTTTAATAATCAATTTACGAATGTTGATAATTTTTGTCTAGTGACCAGACGACACTGCCTATTTTAGTCGCACCATGGTGTCCATAAACCACGTGATCATCATATTTAGCTAAACACTCACATTCTAGGTGCCCCGTGCTCGCTCAAGCTCGCCTTGCCATGGTACGATCGCGCACTCGGGCGCCAGTCGGCTATTCGAATGATATCTTGCCCTTTAACCCTGCCTGCACTTGCGAGATTGTCGTCGTGGGAGCTCGTCTCCAGTGGGTCAAAGTTAAAATGACCAGTTTCCAACATCTCTCAATAACACTCCTCCTCATCGCTGCTGCGATCAGTGTCGAAGACTCCGTCGAAGCGAGCGATGTCGTCAATGTCATCTCGAAACCGCGTGCGAAAATTGCGGAAGGTAAACTAAGAAGCTGAAGTGTGAGGCGCTGAGAGAGCCAGGTCTGCGAGTGCGTTGGGCGAATGACGTTGCCGACCCAGCAAACACGACTGCCTTTCCGTGTGGGGTGAATCTGAGGGTCCCGTATATGGAAATCGATTTATTAACGAAACTTTTGTGTCATTTTCAAAACAAATTTAGCAAAAATATAGGAACGTACAATGGGTCCTAGCAGTACGGATATCTCGTATATTAATTTTAACATGTTTTATTAAAAAAAAATTTTTTTTTTTAATTAGGAAAACAGATTTGAACTATGAAGTTTTCTTTATTAAATGTACCTGGAAATTAGTGATTTTCTGGCTAGCCTCCTCTAGCAGAGAACATGCAGCAGTAACTATGCTCTTCACATTACAAACCTTTCTCGGATGTGCTCGGCGTTCTCTTCGGCGAAGAAAACGCAGAAGGCTCGGCCGCTTAGTCGGCGAGCCGTGCGCCGCGGTCGTCCATTGTGTTCCCAATCGCGCACCATGCAGACGGTAGGTGAAAGCAATAAAGTGAACATGGTTGCAATTTAAGCCCTGTCAGCGTAACTGCGGGGCTGCGGGTAATAAACAAGACTTTTATTCAAACTTTTAGTCTCGGCCGACGGAGCGAATGGCGGGAAAATGCCACCCAACGAGTCTCCTATGGCTTGTTGGTGGCATTCATTAGAGAAATAGGTACTGTTGATCAGTATGGAAAGAGAAAGTTTGGTGAAGGATAGGTATTTGTGCCTTTCTTTTTTTTTTTATTCCTTCTGAGGCTCCCACTTTATTTTGGCGTTTTTTCAATCTATATTGTGTTTTTTGTTAATGTGGGCATTTTCATTCAGTGGGTGGGACTGTCACTCAAAGCAGCTATTGATGGTAAGGTGTCTTTTCCTTTACAGGCCCTCCAGGAACGTCGCACTGCATTGGAGACAGTTGCCACCCTCGACACAAATGCCAATTTGACAGCAGTCCTTGACCACGAGGGAAATCACCTGACTCAGGTGCTACATGTTGCACAGATACTCTGTGCTCATGCTGTGCAATTTTCATGCCTACCTGTTCCATTCATTGATAATGTCCTTCATCTTGTTGATTTGTGCTTTTGTGTGCCTTGCTCATTGTGGATCTCTTCTTGTTTGCGTTTTCCTGCAGAACACTCCAACTACTGATGACACTGAACTGGAACCACCCAACAATGAAAGCAACGAAGCTGATGGGATTTGTGACACTATCAGAGGTCAGTCTCGATGATCTGCTGTTGTCCTAGTTTGTTCCGCTCATGCCTTGGTTGCATACTTCCTAAGATGCGTTGAGGCACAACAAGTTATTTGTTAACTGCACCTTCGGCACAATGCTAATATGGTCCGAGCACCTGGCTCGTGACAAAGCTCTCGTACTACAATTGGCACATGATCCAGAGCACTTGCTTGTGTCTGGGAACATGTAGGCAGCATATAGGTTGTGCCTGGAGGAATGTAAGTAGCACACGGCTGTTGACGGGAGGATATGACACAAGAAACATAGACTGTTTTATGTCGTCAATGTTCTCCTCTATTTCATTGTTCTTTTTGTACGAAGGAGAGAGACAAAATCTTACCGAGCTTTGCAAGAGTTGCGGACAATGCTCGTTGTACGTTCCCTAAACTTAGAAGTAATCCAATCCTACGAATGCGAAACCTAGTCACGGGCTTATCCAGCACTGCCTCTAAGGCAGCTTCTTTGGTGTGTTGGAGCGACCATAATTAGTTGCATTGTTTCGAATAATCTTTACTTGGTAGTGGCACTATAGTTAGAAATGCAAATTGGAGTGCTGGCCCACATTGTTGCACATATGAAGAAGCATCAAACTTAAATTTTATAAACGAGACTCGACAGAATCAAAGGCACTGTGCTTCATTTCACTTGAAATACGGGTGTAGCAGAAACTATGAGCGCAAGTTGAGGGTCTCCAGCAGCCCCGCCTAGCACACGCGCTTGTGCGGTGCAAGCGTCGTTCAAGTCCTCGAAGCAACGCGCTCACAATTGTAGCTTCGGCTTTGCTCGCACTCAGTGTGAAACAGGTCATACAACACTCAAGTATGCGCACTTTCTGTGCAGTGGGTGTGGGTATGGGAGAGTGCCGAACTCCGTTCGAAAGAATAGTGGGTAGCTGGAAAGGCTAGCCACCTTCGTCTCTACCCATGTCTCCCTCCAATTCGAAAGGCAAAATCGTTGTCTGCTCCTCGCGCAGAGAGAGCCGTCGACACAATCGACGCATTTTGCGCAGCTGCCCACCGAAAGTTTAGCGAGCAACCTCCCAAGACGAAGCGCAAGCAGCTCGGTCTAAGCGAGGCAAATGCGCGCGACGTCCCCGCAGAGCTGTCTCTGGGACGGTCCCAGGACGGCCGGCAGCGCTACATGAGCAGTGGGAGCAGCGGCGGGGAGGGCAACGCTGCCGAGGAGGAGGGGGCCCTCACCGCCGAGGACTTGGAGCTGCCCCCCCAGCAGCAGGGCACGACGCCCGCACGGGACTCGTTCCACTACTACCAGGCAGCGGACGGGCAGGCGGTGTTCCTGCACGCCCTCAATGTGCGCATGCTGGCCCGTGACTATGGGGCCCTGGAGCACTCCCCGCACAGCTTCACGGCGCGCATCGTCGAGATTGAGGGAGCCTCCATCGACGAGGTGTGTGTGCTAGAGATATAGGCGGCCCGTTTGTTTGTTTATTTGTTTAGTGGCGCATACTGCGACCTCATTTGAGGTAATTGCCGGAGGGGAGGTGCAGCAGCTCACAGTAATGGTAAACTGATGACAAAGAAAAAAAAAAACGATGCCAAAAGTGACAATTTGAAACAACCACCTGTTAGGAGAAACAAAGGTGCATAATCGTTGAAAGAAAGTCATTGTATGCAGGCCTGTTGACATTATGCCACGAGTCTACCGTAAATGGCACAATATTTAGGCGATCAAATCATACAGTGCATAAGATAGCCGAGTAGGAAATGTATTTAGGTAGTACTTCTGGATTGGCTTGGCTGCTCAGCCAAACAAGCTTGGAAGCCTAGTGTTTCTCTTTTGAGACATGCGGTGCGTCTAGTTCGGCGTCTGACACTGCCTGCTAGTCGTGCAAGCAGATGCGCGTCAGCGTCCGGCATCGCTTGCTATTTAACCACCATCTATCGTCGTTTGCAATGCCTGTTAGACGCGGACATGAAAGCTGCGCGTCCGCGACCGTTTTTGCCTTTGTCCGTCTGCTATTCCTTCCTCGTCTAAGAACTTCTGCTCCGCTTGCAAGACGCAACCATGAAAGCGGCGTTCTAGGGTTTATCATACACAAGCTGCGATCCAATACAAGCGTCTCTCAGCGTCTGTCAGCGTCTTTTGATGTGCGGTAAAAAGCAATGGAGAGAACTAAAAAAAAAAAAAAGCAACAAAATCAATATGCAGTCCTTTCGACTTCTTTGCTCTTGTTATTTTTTTTTCGCAGGACATCCGTGAGCAAGGTGAGTGAGCGTCATGATGCACAATTAAAACGTGACCTAAAATTATTCACTTTAACAGACCAGGTGCACAGCAGAACTTGAAAGCTACTTGCTTTTCGAAGTGAAATGATGGGAACAGCTCCAGCCAAGTGGCTCTTAAATTCTTGCCCGTGTCGGTATCTTCTCAATATTGAAACCATGGTTGCAATTATGACGGTTGCACAATTCACTAAGCGGCAGAGCTGCTTTTATGGGAACCAACATCTTTATTGAGCATTAACATGCGCAAGCGAACAAACCAAGTCAGATCGAGCAACACTGTTGCGTGGGACGCTAGGTTTGGGCCAGCGCTTCTGACAGTGCATGCTTGCGACAGTTTGTTGGAAACTACTACGGTTGAGAGATATTCCTCAAAACACTTCAGTGAACACAAAATGACTCGCATTCGTAAAAATAGGCGAGTTATACTCCGCGACAACTTTTCTTGGCAATGCAGTGGAAGGTACAGGCCCGCGTCCCCTCTCATTTTGAGTGTACGCAGGCTCTCCTCCTCCCCCATTTCCGGTTAATTGCGGCTTAGTTTTACGGCGACTCGGAACACGACCCAGGCTGAACCGTTCGTGTGGCCGCTTGTTTCGTCTGGCACCACACACACCTGGTCTCATTTCCTTTTGTCGGTACGGGGATGATTTGCGAGCATATTTGTGTCGCTCGTATTTTCTCTGGAGGTTGGGGAACATTATGGCCTTGTCCCGTGTGCTTGGACATGAGCCCCGGTAAATGCAGATTTTCTGTTATTTGTTTACGCGCTTCCACTGTGAGGTTAGCTAAAAGTATTAATTTTTGTTGGTGCACATGACATCTTTGATAAAATTCTTTTAAAAGCTTGGCTTCCATTTTTATTTCTGTTTATGCCCTACCTTGGCTTTATAACTGACTATGACGAGGAAATCCACGTCTACTTCAGATGGCATTTTTTATGCCGGAGTTTTAGATAACATCGGTTTGCACCGGCGCACGCATTGTTTTTACTGCTCAGTAAAACTGTGTGCCTTTCCACGAGTGCTGTCTCCACTCGCGCCACCTTGCACTCGCGGCTGAGCAAAGTGTTTTCAGGAGATGCGCCGTCGCCTGCGCTACCTGCGCCACCTGCCCCTGACTTGCGAGATCCAGGTGGTCGAGCTGAAATTGGAGCCACCCTTGGTCACGCAGGACACCTTGGACCACTTTGCATGTGGGTGGCTGTTTCATCCTAGAGTGCACTTTTTCTGGGGGGGGGGGAGTGGTTCTGCATCTTGTTAGCTTTGCCACCCCCGTTCTATCGTTGCACATGTGAAGCATTGCAATTCTTTGAAAGTGCATCCAGTGCTGAAAGAAGGCTTGTGCATGCAGCCGACGTGGAGAAGCGGCGCCGCATGCGTTCAAAGCGTGCCCGCAGCGAGAAGCGGCGAGACCGACTGCTGGCGCAAGAGGAGCTGCGCAAGCAAGGGCACGGTGGGTGGATTTCTCTTGTCTTGTGGCATTCTTGAGGCCATTCTGGTGGCGGGTTAAAGAGACACTGACAGGGTATTTTTGCTCGCCAAGGTTTTTATTTGAACATGACCTATGAAAGCCCAACTACCCAGAACACTAATTGTGACTCGAAATTTCTTTTTTTTTTTTTTTCTGTCTGAAAACAGCTGGTCGAGAATTGGCCGGTTTCGGTGGTGCTCGCTCACTTTTCCATGGTCACGTGGCATTCAGACTATACAGGTTTGCAAGTCTGGCTTCAGAGCGCTGCCATCTTGCTCGCTGGGGTGCGCTTAGACGTGTCCCTATCCGATTACGAAGCCTTGCTAAGGCGTCATAATCGGATTATGGCCGCGCCCAAGCGCACCCCACTGGGAAAGATGGCGGCGCCCAGAGACCGGACTTGCAAACGTGTATAGTGTACCAAATATATTCAAAGTCGTGGGTCTTCTAAGGCACACATTGAATATTAAAAGTAGAAAAGAATGAGGACCCCATTTTTGTGACCTCTAAAAGGCTGCAAATACGTTGATTGAAAAAAAAAAAATTGTTGCACAGATCAGTTTCATGTACTACATCATGCTCAATATGGCAACGTACAGCGGGCTGGACGATGCGATGGCGGCGCACGACGGACCGATGTTGCGACGGACGTGGGGCCGCCACTTTGGAAGTGTCGTTGTGGTAATGGCCAACCAATCTTCAAGCGTAGAACATCGAGCGGAAGGGATACTAGTGCAAAGCAATCGCACGACAAACGGTGCATGCAACTTTGTTGTCGTCGTCATCTGCTTCCCATGCCGCCAAAAAGAAAAAAAAGGTTTGTTTGGTTGTAGTTGATTTCCGGCAACTCTCTCCTTCTCTGCATTTCTCCCTCCTCGGTATGCACCGTTCATATGTCGCGGCCATGGGCTTCTGTGCTCGTGTTTCAGTTTCGGTTTCAAGCGGTTGAGTTTTTTGGTTTTATTAAAAATATACCCGACTCTGTAGCAGAATATTGATTGGGTAGTCTCTCGACACCATATTAAATTGCCTGGCCAAAATAATACAGTTTCTGTTAGGGGGGGGGGGGGGGGAGGGAGGGAGGAGGAGGAGGAGGAGGAGGAGGAGGAGGAGGAGGAGGAGGAGGAGGAGGAGGAGGAGGGGGGGAAGGAGGGGAGGGGGAGGGGGAGGTGTCAGGGTCCTTTTAAAAAGATATTACCACGAAATTTCGGCACTTATTTTGTGTTCTATATGTGTTCAAAGGAGCAGAATCGCATCGAACACACCAATATCTTGTTAAAAAAAAGTCACGAAAAGGAATTTTAAAACGAATTAAACCATTAGCAAAGAGCAACTGGTGGATGTCGCTAACGCCTCGTTTGTAATACCTGTCTAGGAACTTTGAGAGGTAGTGACGGTAACTGTCTCGCCTCCGGCCACTACGAGAGAAGAGGGGAAGGAAGAACTCCCCTCTTCCCGAGAATCCCTTTTGTGTGACCCAGAAGTCGCTATTGCCCCTCTACAAGATAATAGAAGATTAACCCATCACTCGAAATTCGTACAAAAGCAGCCGCTTCGATGGCTGGAACGACTAGGCCATCTTCTCGACGTCAGCCCCGCTGTAGCTTTGCTCGTCCCGAGACGAACTACGTCATGATTGCAAGGATTTCACATGGTCTCCCCTGGCTCTTCTCTGAGCGCTTGCCAGAGGGGGCTGTTTATAACGAAAAATACAGCCACCAGGCTCAAAATACTAACGTGCGATTGTCATTTATGGATATTGTGGATCATATTCAACCTATCTTTGAACACGACGGGTATATTTCAAATTTCGTTGAAATATCCCTTTAAAGGGCAACTCCTCTCAATTCCGAAAAATTTAGGCTTACATGTGACTCCATTTCACAAAGCACTACTAAACAGCTCCACGTCTTCAGATTCGCGAAAGGTGGAATATTATTTGTGTAATCCTAATTTAAGCATCAGCTGATACCGAAACCGAAACTTCGGTTGCGTCAGGCAACATTAGTCTCGTGTCGTCAGAGTCATGGCCACGTCACGTCGAAACACGTGGTCTTGTGACGTTTGAGGGACAGGACACGCGACGCGGGCAGGTTGCTTCGCTTGGCGTGGACGGTGATAACCGAGGGGAAAGGGGGAAAGGGAGAAGACAAAAGAGAAGGGGAGCGGAGAAACAGACCGATAAGCGCGCAGGGCAGCGCAAACTAGCGCATCCGCGTTATGGTGATCACGTGGACGCCGTTCAGCCAACACCGGGAGGAGAAACTCATGACGTCATAGTTCAATTTCGCTCTGAGAAGTAAAAACAAACAAAACGTGAGAATGACGTAGTCATGCCTCTGACGTAGTGGCTCATCATTGGCCGCTCCAACTCCGTCGCATTGACTGCGCTGACGATTGCGTCTCACGTCGCACGCTAGAGTTGGCAGATTTCGGCGACTTGGCTCACTTGAAGGTTTGCTGGCCAGTTTATTAAATATATAGACGGAATTAGATCGTAATATTTGACATGGCGTCTTCCTATATGATACTGAAGAGGGCTACATAGTTTTCTAAATATCAAAAATGAAGCGGAGTTGCCCTTTAACTAGTTCCAGGCTCCCATTGGGCGCGTTCAGTAGCGGTTCCAGGAATCAAGGAGTGAGCGCTTCTTCAACTAGATGGCAAAAACTGACTTCCGGTGCACGTTACTCCGAGTCTTTGGAGTCAGGCTCTCGTGCACCGAGTCTGGAGACTGTGCACGAGGAGTGAAAGGAGCGCAGCATGGCGTTATTCCGGATCGCTGACAAAATTCGATTGCTAAAAAGAGAAAAAAAGAAAATTAACGGGATAAGTTCCGTTGGTTTCGTCGCAGGTCTGTGATTTGCTCGCTTTTGTTAATGAAAAGTGCTCAAGGTAAGACGAATAACGCGTTTGAATTTTTTTTCCAGCTAAGGCTCTTCCTGGAAAATGCATTGGACCGTATTTTGTTTGGTTTGAATATGCTAATAAACAACGTAAACGTTCGTTCGACGCCGTGTCTTGATCGCTATTGCACGGAAACTCAGTAATATTGACGATAGTCCTGCCCGCGCTGAACAGAGCAAGGCAGGGTATGAATGCGACTTTGGTGGCCGGTTGGACACTCACGCAGAGCATGATTCCGATTAATGTTTTGTTTGCATAGGTAAATCGGGGTGTACGTTGGCTGACGCTCGCTTCGGCCGACAAAACCTTGGATCGTCGAGCACGGCTGAACTTCCTGTGTGTATACGAATACATTTTATAGGAAGTTCGTAACGAAGGGCAGAACAAACTAATGGCCGTATAAAAGTATCGCAACCCGCAGCATAGATTTGCCGAGCTTCATATTTTGCGTGTGCTGACGACGTTTTTACAGCAGTAGCAGCCTTTGCTCCGCCCTGTGAAGGGCTCGATCGTGTTGGATCGCTTTGAACAGCAGCGCTGATGTGTACAGTTGCTCACTTTTTCTTTAACGACGTTGTGGAGACTTCTTTAATACTGGCATCGAATAGAAGCGAACGTGCTTGGCATCGTCTGCTTCCATTTTATTCGGAGACCGTCTGGCACAGGGGAGGAAGTAGAAACTGTGTAGAAGCAGCTGAAAAGCCGCCCTCTTTTTGCCGTTCAGTAGGCGTTCCGAGGACTCCGACATGAATTACTCCGTTCGGAGTTGAGGGAGCCGCTACTGAATGCACCCATTGGGATGTTGCATGCTCTCTTTGGAAAACTTCGGGTTCAGGTGCATCTCCCGGCATTGAAAGTGGGGTAGTTATGCGACCCTGTGCCCCTCCCGAATCTGGGTGTCATCCTGGTATTAGAAGATGTAAAATGATTACGTCAAGTCTATGTTTAGACGTCAGAAAGTTAGTCACCCCCAACAAACTCCTGGTGCCTCTGCCGTAGATGGGAAATTTAACCCGTGCAGCACCACTTCTAGCCCGGGGTCCTCGACATGCATCACGTAGGAGAGCCTCACGACCGCGCGCCGGCATGACGCTCATCCAGATAGTAACTGGTGGGGGCAGGGATTGAGCCCAGGATCTCTGGGTTCTCCGGCGCGAGGATCCTTTCACTGCGGTCATTGCCACATACACATATTTTGCAAGATGTCCAATCTGGGGCCCTATGCTCCAAGGCGGCACCAAGCAAGACCAAAGGATTGGGACAACGCCATCTGCTGCAATTCGTCAACGGTGCAGCACCGACTAATTGCAGGAGATGACGTGGTACCGGTCCCTCAGTTCTGTTCAGTCCTGCCATGTAGTGTAGGGCACCTGGACACGGTTGAGAGTGGTTTGGAACAAGTCTGTGGCGGTCGGTACCCAGGCCTAGCTGCCCGCTACAACTTGGACAGTGTGAAGCACTTCCCAAGCTGCGACCCGGGGCCTCCCGAGCCTACCGAATCCAGTCCGGTGCCCCGCGTGGCTTCCGCCGATTCCCACTCTACCGCCCACTCGGACCCGGATGGGGGCAGCAGCGGCCTCGCAAGTGTGGCCAGTAGTCTCGCCGAGGAGGAAGGCGTGCCCAGGGTATCCTTTGCCCAGGTAAATGTTCATTCCTGTTTTAGCGTGGAATGTGTTTTAGTGGCTGATTTTCGTGGAGTTCTGTAACGTTTAGTTGTCACGAGAAACCGACACTGGAAAGCGTTATGCCCATAGGGAACCGTATATAACAAGACTTCAGTCCCCCTGCAGGATTTTAGTTCACCACTTCGAGATTGCGAGCCCAGTGCATCGCCGACTGAGCTATCCAGGGTCAATGACCACTAGTGTGCAAAAATGAGCTTGTTTGCACGGCGCGTGAAGGCGCGGTTGCGCGGTCACGCGCTTCGCGGCCTTTCCACTTGTGCTGCGCCGTGTCACGGCGTGTGCCACAAATGGGAGGAATCTTTTGTAAACGGTGTCATTCGGACGCCCTTATCTTCCCCGGAAGGCCTGTCATACGTCCTGTGCTTACTGTGATATAAGCCCTGGGGCTTAGGGTAAGAAGAAGGAGTTACTCGGCTAAAGTGGACGGCTGTGCTATCTTTCCTCACCGGCTACGGATACTACATGGTGGTAGCGGATTTAGCAATATTCATTCATGAACTTTTCTTCCAAGCATTTCCAGAGGGCATAGGCACCGACCAAAGTCCACCGCCGAAGTCCAAGCGTATTATTTAAGCAAGTGCAACTACACAGCGAACCACTGCGTTCGCTTGTCAACCGCTGGAACCTCTCGACTTCACAGAAACCAAAGACTGGCCTTGATGGATACAGCGCTTCGAGCGATTCCGTCCCATAAGGACTTTACAACATGCCCGCAACAGGACGAGTGAACACCTTGATATGTTGCATGGACGAAAAGGCAGAAGACAATCTGCTCTCGCTTGCGGTTACTAACGAGCAGTCACTATGATACAAAGCAGTTCAGAAGGCTTTTGAGTACCATTTTATTGTGCGGCGTAATATCATCTATGACTGAAGCAAATTTTAGACCAGATAACAAGAACAACACGAGCCCGTTGAAAACTTCATCACTGATCTGCATGCTCTCGCAAAATACTGCAACTTGGGAGCACTTCACAACGAGATGATACCTGACTGTACTGGCGGCACAAAAACCCCAATTTGCAATCACCTTTTTTTTTTTTTTATAGCTTTACGTTTTTGCAGAAAATTTTCCCCGCATAATTCTCGCACCCCCCAACTTTCCATTGATTTTCCGCAAAAAAAAGTGTGAGGATTACGTGAGTAAATATGGGTATCTTCCACCGTGAGAACCAGAAAATACCGGGGCCTGTAGCCTGCATTGCCTTTGCAGGAAACAAACGAAGAGAGTGACCGAGCATCGTGCAACGCTGCCAGTTCAATTTTGCTGATGTTGATGACTATTGCTGTTGAAAACATTTTTTAAAAGCCTTTGCGGCTATGTTGCTGGTCTGCAAAAAAATAGCCGATAGGGTCGGATCTGGCGTGGGGACGGAATGGAACACTTTCGCTCATTTGCTTTGGTGCTGCCCAAAAAAAACAGCTCCCTTTAAAACGTGCCCCAAAAGGAGCCGGATTCCGTCTGATCGTCGTGAAGTATGTTCCTGTTGTCGACACTGTATATTGCATATGGCGTGTTATTTTAGACCTTTCTCAAATCCTCTTTGGATAACATGGCACTGTGGGGTACATACAATATATGTTGTTCGTTTGATGAGAATCATTGAATTTCATGTTGTGAGCGGGGAATACTCATGCGTTTCGGCCATCCTGTAAAGTTAAGTTAAGACTTCTGTAGATTGACACGGCTGAGTGTATGGTGCCGTAAAAAAAATCACCATAAACTGATGCAAACATTCCAGTTGCATTTGTTCTGTTGTGCAAGGACTCGCGAAGAATAACCCTCATTTGTTTGTTTTTGTTCCCCCAAAAAATAGGGCAATGCTTTCTTAATTAAAAGCCTCGAAAAATTCTATTTGCCATAAAGCACAAAAGAAAAAAGAAAGGCTCGAGGTACACCTAAGCACTTCATTATGAGTTGGAAATGCGAAAGCATGCATGCCGTTCTTCTGCTTCTTTATTTCGTCTGCGGCAAACTTGCGTCAACGGCCACCGAGCGCTGCGTCGCTCGGTGGCCAGACGCTTTGTGTTACCGGCGCACTGGTGGTGCGGACACGCAGCACGATGGGGTTGCGGTTGTTGAAACTTACTGGCAGCAGCCATTGGGTACCTCATTCCTTGAAACTACGATGTACTCCAGCCAATGGGACCGAAGTTGAAATCCATCAGATTTCGGTTTCACTGTGCTCCATTAGAAGCGGGGAAACTAGGTACCGTTTGGCTAGACTTTTTGCGTGGCTTCAAAGCTGGGGAGCCATCGGATTTTGGCTTTACTTGGAGAGAGGAGTTTAGGTGCCGTTTGGTGTGGCTTCAAAGCTGATGATGTCAGCCCGCTGCATGGGACAGTTGATGCTTTCGCTTAAAAAACACAGAAATCTCGCCGACACCACCGTCTGGAATTGTGCCTACGCAGGCTGCCACAGTCCCTTGACGAGAAAACTCGGTGCCCGGCGCAGTCAGGCAACACTGACGTATACTCTCAAAACCAGGGACTTGCACTCTACATTGCTTTGTTCAAGGCTGCCGCTGGAAAGGTGTAGAGAGCCTATATGTACTTTTTAAAAGTACACATTCTGTTCATATGGATACCCCACTAGATAGACAAAAGTTTGGGGGACTGCTAATTGGGTGAATACTTTTGTCTCGTTACTGCAGATGACTCCCATCATGGACAGTTTTGAGGGAGGAAGGGAAGGTTCATTATTGAGATATGACTGCATCGGCAGGCCGTTCCTTTTGGGATGTTTCGTGTTTTCTAGCTGCATTGTGTCAAGTCAGTGCATTTGTCAGAAAATACCCATGTGGTTATCTTGCGTTTGGTTTTGGATAAAGGTTAAGGGGGTGCGTAGAATAACATAATTACCAACTTGTGTACTTTGTTTCTGCTAAAATAGAACAACAGTCTTTCCTTTTGTGCACAAACGGGCCAAAATTGGTGGCTTTGTGAGTTTATGATTTGCTTCGTAAAGTTTTGGGTTTGCCTTACAAGGTTGAATGTGTTTTTTTTATTTATATAGTAACGTGGCACCAATGTGTCGGTCGAGCGTAACGTGTCGCTTTTCTCGTGAAATCGGGCCCTAGAGCGTGTTGTGCGACGGCTGTGCAGATGGTGCAGACGCACGGTGCTTCTGGTGCAACCCGTGCCTCTGGGACCCCGAGGGGGCAGCGTCCCAAGGAAGGGGTCGAGAGCCCCCTGGTAGGGCCTCAGCTGGACTCTGACGGCGAGGAGTTTGCTCCGGCACCCCAGTTCCAGCACTCATTCAGCTTGGCGCTGGAAGAAGCCCTCAGCGGGGTGTCCAGGGCTGCCCAGACTCCCGGTAAAAACCCCTCCCCCTTCTTAAATTTATTTGTTTCCGGAGGCACGACGTGTAAACAACTAATTTGGTGGGCACAAAATTTTGCAAATTTCTTTCCCACTGTTTAGAGTCTGACCTCGCAAAAATGGAGCATTGGTGTACTCCTTGGGGACTGCCTTTTAATGCAAAAAATTGTGTTCATTGATGTTTTTCCTTTAGGACAGAAACACTTGTCTCCTCGGTTTCTTCTTAACAACGAGCTAGTCCCTAAGAAGTCTGAAGTTTATTATTTAGGTGTATTGTTTTCCAGTACCTGTTCTTGGGAAGCACACATTAAACCAAATCACCAGTAAGGCGAGCATGACAATAAACTTCCTACAAAGAAATTTAAAGCAAGCACCTTGCAGCCTAAGAGAAGGTGCTTATTTGACTTATGTTCGGCCAGTCCTGGAGTATGCACGTGTTTCGTGGGACCCATTACCAAGATATCCAAGTTGCTAAACAGAACAAGTGCAAAATTGGGCAGCTCATTTTTGTCTAAAGAAATGACAATTGTGGTGCAAGTGCACCGCAAATGAAGAGCAACTTAGTTTGGAAAAACATGGAAACTAGAAGAAAAACATACCGGAAATTTTTTCATAACAAACATTTTGGCGAAACTGGTATAAATGCCTCCTTATGTCTTTCTCCTCCCACCTATGTATTTCGTAGGTTTGATCATCCGTTTAAAGTCAAAGAAGGCTTGTTTAACTACAGCCTTTCTAAGAACTAATTTTTTCTTGAAACAATAAGTGATTGGAACTCTTTACTCTTGGAAATTCTAAACACTACAAACAATACTCTATTTTCTTTTTTTTTTTTTTTTAAAAATGATCTCTACTTCTTTGCTTCTTTCTGTAATTTTAGTGTTTTTTTTTTGTGTGTGAATGTCTTTTTTTGGGTATGCACATAGAGTAAACTCACTTGAGTGAACATCAAGGGACCCAAGGAGATAGTTCACTTGAAAGAAAGTTCTCTAAACTGAATAGATTTGCTAGAATGTGGAACAGCATAGGGTACAGCGTACATTGAATCAAAAGAGTGAAATGGAATTTATGGAGTCATGTTCATTGATATATACAAAGTGCATAAGAGTTACGTTGCTGCCTTTTTCATTTTGAAAAGAAATCTAATTTTAGCTTGCATCAGTGCTCCTAAAGCGCATGAGTAACAAAGCTGTCCAGAGAGTCTATGTCTTTTTGCACTTCCTCTGGCACAGCTTGTTGCTGTGGCGAAGCCATACCGCAACGGCATCATCCACTGGCTTGAAATATCCCGTGCAGAGTTGTTTCATGTTCAGATTAAATGCAGTTCCTCCTTCAAGCTTCGACCTTTGCTTCACTATCGTTGACAATGTCGACGGTGGAATTTTATAGCCCTTCGCAACGTTTACTTGTCTTTGACCGTTGTTTAGACGCTGAAAAATTTTGAGTTTGTCTGATAGAGGCAACCGGTTTTGTCTTGTCGTACTTGTTACGAAAGTGCCGTCCTGCCGTTGTTACCCAAAACCAAGATGGCCGAACGGAACCGATGACGAAGAAAAAACAGACGCACCACGTGGTTTGTTTTTGTCTACCGCACTGCCATTTTGCCTCGGTGGTGCTGTAAACTCCAGTGATGATACGCCGCCGCTGCGGAAGCGGGGCTGCGGGCTTCGGTTACGCAAGCACTGCAGAGCACAAAACTTTGTTTATTGCAAAATAAGCCTGGGTCCACCAATCAATTTCGTTCAACTGAAATATTCGCTATTCTGAATTTATTTAACTGAAACATTTTTGCATAAAAAACTGCCGGGGATTTTTTTTAAAGTTTGTTATTTTGAAAGGTTTGTTAAACCGATGTTCGCTCAAGTGAGAGTTTATTGTATTTGTATGTAGTCATTGTTCTGTTTCCATTTGCCTGATACTTTTTATTGTGATGCTGTTGTTTTTCCTCTTTTCCCCTGCTATAATGCCACTGGTGCGACAGGTATCTGACAAAAAAAAGTAAAAAAAAGATACCCAAGTTGGCTTTGCACGCGACTGCCACGTGAAGGCACGGGATTCAAACCCCCGCCGGCCCAGTTCTTTCTTGACTTGTTTCTTCTGTTAAGTCCCAGGTTATCCTTGTCTGTTATCGTGTGTTTTAGTTTAAAATGTTCCTGAATGCAGTGGTAGTATAAAAGAAGCAGTAGTGGCTCTGCCTTGAGGCAGTTGCCACTTCGTCACCGTTGCAGGCTGGGCATTGCTTCTGCATTATTTGAGTCGATTTGTTTCTTCCTCGTCACCTGTCATTCAAGACAATATTTTACAGGTGCAAAGTTTTGCAAACGTACCAACTGGCCTCGTTTTTGATGTTGCTCATACAAGATTTGAAGCTATTCTGTTTACTAAAAGAGATTGAGTATTGTGCAGTCATGTCAATATGCGATGGCTCGGATTCGGTTTTGCATATTCGATGTTTCGCGCTTATCTCCTACAACGAAGTAACCTGTACTACAGGCTTTTTTACCAGTCTCCCGAAATTTATTATAAAAGCGTTTGACCATAGTTGCTAGTAAAAGGGGTGACTATGGTCCACCTCTGGCGCACCACCGTTTCCGCATCATCTTGACACGCAGCACACTGTTGCAGCAGTTGGCATCTAGATGTCAAGATGTGCTGGATTGTCGTCGGAGAAATAAAAGCATTGTTATTAGGGAACGCATCCATGAAGCTGCAACATTATCTCTTCACAAGTCGTGGCATAGGCAACAGCAATGTATTTTGCATTTCATTTCAGATGGCCCGAAGTTAAAATCTGGATCCAAGAAAAAGAAGAAAAACATGACCTTGCTCTTTGCCACTTCCATGAATAGGAGCAAGTAGTGATCAGTGGGCTCCTCGAGGCCACGGTAACTGTGTGCGAATGTCGTAGGTCTCCACAAACCACTTTGTGTCTGCGGCTTTCAGCCACTTTGTCTCTTGGGGAGCGCCTCGTGAGAGGCGCCGTAATCTGCGTTGTCCCAATTTGCCATTAACGATTGGATGGGAGGAAAGTTTGTGCGCTGCAATGGATTCAAAGTAAGAGGGCTGCCGCATTTTGTGGTAGCTCTAGGATTGAAGGAGCGTTTACCGGTTGATTTCTGGAGGCAGTGTGGGAATGTGTGCTTGGTATGTGAATAAAGGTTGCTTGTTTAAATTACTCTCGTCTCCACGACTGAGTCGACAGAAAGTGGGTCGTTGGATGTCTGAGAAGGATTTGGTCGACAGCAGTTTCACCTAGGGCCACCGAGTTCTCCGAGGGTACTGCATTTCATAGCATTTGCTTGAGCTGAAAAAAAGTGAGAAAATTGAGCTTTGTGAGCTTTTAGATTTGTTGACGTGGGCCCCATGTTGATCCTGAAAAACGGAACGAAAAACAAAGTGTAAGGAATGAGGCATATTTTTGAGGAATGCATTCCTTAGAATTCACTGAAATAATGAAATTAAAGTGCTAGCATATGCCAAAGAGAATCCGTTTGTCTGAGCCTGATAAATGTTTGGATTAATTTTGTTCAGAAGAAACGTTAGTGCATGAAAGGGCTTTAGATCGAATAAATAATATATATTTGAGTTTTAATATTGTGGCCCTTTTTTAAGTTTATTTAAAAAATTGTTTCACAAAAACTTTGGTTTAGCTACACCCGAATTATAAAAAACTAAAAAGCGTGGCTCCACAGATGTGACGCCACATAAAGTACCTTCGAATATTCGCCGCTTTCACGGACTACCGTTGCAAAAACAGTAGTAACTGGTGGTAAAAGAAAAAATGTTTTGTGGGTATGCTAAACTTAGTCTGGGGGGGGGGGGGGGGCCTTAACAGGCAACTTGTCTCTTGGTTGTAGATGAACAAGTTGGCCAGTACGGTAACACCACTAGCCTACGGTCTAACGTGCACCACGCTGTAGTGATACACGACCGCACGCTGGTTCGATGCTCGTCCAGATCGAAACGGGCCGGGGTGGGGATAAAACCCAGGATACCTGGGTTCTGCAGCGCAAGGTTTCGCTTGTACGTGCTCCGAGCTGGTGGGCGCTAGCTTACTCGGCCACCGAGCCCTCTAAATCGGAGGTCTCAAACTCATTCGAGTGTGGGGGCCAGATAGCCCACTCCAGAAAGGTCTAGGGCCACCGTAAAGCCCTCGACCTTTGAAGGGGGGGGGGGGGGGGGGGGGGTTAAAAGATTTTCAAGGGACCTCGTGCTCTGCTTTTTGTAAACTCGCAGTTTGGCAGACATTTTTAGCTTTGATTTGTTTATTGAACTAATTTGGGCCCTTACCTGAAATATTAACACGAATTGAAACGGCACCACCCCGCCAACGTGTTGTCATTTTTAACAAGAAGAAAGCAAGCACGCTATCGTTCCCGTTGCTCATATTACTCGGGCATTATTCCAGCTCAACACGTCCCGAAAAAAAAAAAAAAAATTCGTAAAACAGATTTTGCTTTGCTGACCGTTTGTGTAGCAGCAGTTTGGAGAAAAAAAAATATTTTAATGGTGATGATAACTGAAGACAAGAATCTCAAACTAGCAGGTTTATCTATTTTTCTTCCTCTGAGCAAGAGTTCGTGCAGCCGAGGTCTGTCCTTGAGTGAAGAAAGCTCGGAAGCAGAGATAAGAACGAAACACAAGGCAAATGAAAACAAAATATTACTAACTATGTGATGTATGTTATAAGAGCAGAGCTACGCGTCAAGCGAAAGTGCCATTTCTAGCGCTTGAGGCATGGGAACGGGTGCCCGCAGCCGGTTGCCTGCGGGCCGCATCTCTGCGAGTCGCGGGCCGCATGCGTCCCACGGGCCGCGTGTTTGAGACCCCTGCTCTAAATGGTGGTAATGTAGAACGTTAAGTGGGTTGCTTTGCGGTGGTATTGCACAGGTGAGCTTGTTACGCATTTCGTGCCTTGAGGGCGCAAACATAGATGTGTGCGTATATGCGTCAGTCTGGAAGAAATCCCTACCAATGGCTAGCACTGCATCGGGGGTGGAACGCAAAAGTAGCATCTCTTGCAATCACATACCTCAGTAACTATGCTCAGCATATGAAAAAAAAAAAAAAAAGTTCTGCGTATTTTTTACGCACTGCACGAAGTAGATTTCACAAGATTTGGATGTCAAAGAAAAGCTATAATTTCGGCTTTTGAATATGCATCTTGATTCAACACAGGAATTGGTAACATTCTGCGAGGAGCCAGACCTTTTTACTACGCAGGGTTTGCTCAGGACCTTGAAGACCCTTGAATCCACCTTTTTCCAAATATGTGCTGCCACCTAGACACGCGACTGGGTTCGGGGTTCGGCACCCAAAACGTCAGCTGCATCCTGTTATCCCATTGAGGCGCTTTGACCGAGATACGGCTCCCCCAAACTTTGCCTTTGTCCCCATCGTGTGTTACATTCGGCGCGGCCGAGGTTCGTACGAAGAAACCATTTTCCTTCTCTGCTCGGCCAGAAGGAAGAAAGGGTTAGTCAATATTTACTCTCGAACCAATATTTCTGCAAAAGGGCGTACTCACGGGGGCTCTGGTCACTGGCATTGTCTTTTTGGAGTAATACGCCACAATTACTATTTTCTTACATTTATATTACAATACAAATATTTTCAACTTTCGAATTGTATGCTAAGCGATATTCGCTTTCAGATAAGCAGCGATACAAGTATTTGATATATTTGCAGTTTCCCGTGCTCTTTGTTGCCTCTGCTTAGTTGGCTCGATCTGCATATGCTTCATAAAGCGCATGATGCACGCGGACTTGCTTAAAGGGACACGGACAGGGTATTTATGCCCGCTAAGGTTTTTATTTGTACATGACGTATAAGAGCCCTACTGGACGTCCTGCTCTCCCAACACCGTCGTTTCGCGAACTTTTCAAACCCGAATGGAAGTTTAGAAACTTTCATCCGGGCTAGTCTCCGCTAAAGATGGGAGATTTCGTCAGTGCAGTACGACTGCTAACTTGGGGATGTTTTAGCCTGCATCACGTAGTCGCACGCCGGTAAAGCCCCTCGATAAGGCTGCGTTTACATGGATGCGACCGTGGCGCATCGAGTCGAGATTTGACTGGGTAGAAGAGGAAGTAGGAAGACAGGCTGCGTGTGATTGGTCCCTGCTCGATTCGGTGCGCTACGATTGACCTCATGTAAACGCAGCCATTCGATGCATGTATGATCTGCAGTGACCTAAAACGAAACGTAAAAAACAACAAAAGAGCAACAACAAAAAAAGTAAGCAAACGCTTCTGTATGAATGGGTCATTTTACACGCCGGTAATCCGCTCCTGCTCGGATAGCGAGCATTCACTCCAGCGGCTCCACGTGACCCGAGTTGTGGTCAGACTTGTACGGTGCTTACTGCAAGTATAATCACATTACTTGCGATCGATTACTTTTATTAGCGGAGCTTTTAAGGGCTAGTTTCCCCAGCTTCGTGTCCGTGGACAAATAAATCTCGACACAAACCTCTGATCAGCTAGCGCCATCTATGAGCGACGGTGGCACATAGTACAGCTCCGCTGCTCTTCCTTCTTCATCAGAATGAACAGGCTGAATGTTTTTGGAGTAATTTTGTAATAATTTGAATATATTTATTGTAGACCAATCGCGAGAGTAATCCCAGTACTTTTAGAAGTACTAAAATTATTTGAATCCGTTACAATTTTTCCCTTCCCCTTTTTGATGGCGCCCTTTGTTTCTTCAAGTTAACTTCTAATGACTGTTCGAACGAAGTCTCGGACAGAAGGAGGATTTACCAAAATTGGTAGATTAAGATGAGTGGTTTTATAATTCGGTGATCCTAATCCAATAATGGACAACAAGAAATGCCGGTTTTAAAACTGGCAGAAGAAGCTGTCCTCAAAATAAAAAGTAATCAGAAAAGTAGCGGTTACTTCTTGAAGTTACGATCAATTGCTTCTTCTCAATTAATCAAGTAATATAATTGAACCTCTTCTTTCGCGTAATATGTACAATATTGACTGTGTGTGTGCCATACACTTGGGTGATTTCTGAACATTGGTCAAGCATTTGTGGAAGTTGCCCTCTGACTCTTCTAAAGTAAAGGACAGAAAACACAATTGGCATGCGTGTCCTAGTTGTTGTGTAAAAAAAGAAAAAAAGATAAATAGTGGCACTTTTGGCACCCCTCAACTCACTTCCAGCCTTCAGGGTCACACCTGTTCCCCCTCCTAGTGACGTAATTCGGGGTGCCGTGTTTGCGTGTAGCTTCCCGTGTGCTCTCTCGGGGGACGCTTCCCCTCCCTCTCTCTGCTGACATTAGCGGGCGTTATGCTGCAGCTTCGAGCCGACCGAGGTCATGTAATCTTTTCGCCGTAGTTCCTTCGGCTGCCACTCGCGGCTGCAGGTGGGGAAAAAAGCTAGACTTTTGCTTTGCGATTATGCAGCGGAATCGCAACATTTTTAATGAAGGAGGTGTTTTCTGTATCCTCCGGCAGGTTACGAAAAATTTGATTCATCGCGTACTGCTGGAGAAAGCCGAGTGACGTTATTCATCCGTAGGGACCTCACGTACGTGCCACATGTCATTCCACCTCACGAGAACAATGAGTACGTGTGTGCTTCAATCTCCGACAATAAGTTCTCGTTCACAATAATTGCATCGTATATACCGCCTAAATTGAAATTTGAGAGACAACGCCTAGAAAACATTCTAAATACGGTACCCCCACCTCACATTATAACTGGCGATTTTAATGCGCATCACCATCTATGGGGTAGTGTTCGAACAACTCCTCGCGGGAGATGCCTTGGTGATATAGCTCACATTCATAACTTATTTCTCCTGAATGATGGAAGTCCCACCTACCTACATGGGACAAGTGGCAGCAGTTGCCTTGACTTGACATTCGTGTCATCGAGCTTGGCATCATCTGTTGCCTGGTTCACAGATGTAGAAACGCGCGGCAGCGATCATATCCCAACCTACACAATAATTCACGATTTTGTCAAGAAACAAAAAGGCAATATAATCCAGCGAGTGAATTGGTTGGAATTTGAAGAGGGAATGAAAAACAAAACAATGAATAGCCTCCACGAATTTGAGAGTGCAATCATTTCTTCTGCAAAATCATCAATGCACAGCTACAAACTTCCAGCTCATCGAACAGTGATCGACGCCGAGTATGAACATCTTCGTGCAATACGACG